TATGTTTGTTCATAAATTATGAGCGATATCTCATTTAATGATTCCGTCGCTTTCCATTAAATTTTTCTTATTTTTCTAATTGGTTATTGTGAGGTTATTGTGGATTAGGAAGTCATTTACGCAAAAATGAAAAGAAAGATAAAAAATAAGGGAATAAATATCAGCAAATATACCAAAAAATAACGATAAAGCTGAGTGTACATTATAAGGTTTTTATGTAGATAATAAAATATATTATTGTACCATGAAATCACTAGGAGTAATTATCAGGCCTATACCGCAGTAAAATTAAAGGAAGATTTGCTGCTATCGCGTTAAATCTGGAAATTATTTAGAAAGTTTATAAAAAGTCAAAAATTTTTAACAGTACTTAATTAAACTGTAGTGTTGAAGCCTGTGAAATTATCAGCCTTATTGATTGTTCGATGACATTTACATGCCTTTAAGTAATTAGCTAATTTCAGCTTCAAATTCTTTAAAAAGTACAGAGCGTTAGTTTTATGTATTATAAAATTTTTGGGAATTAATATTTTAAAAATTTTCAAATTAATAATGAAAGGAAGCATATTATGAATAGAGATAATAGGGAAATATCGGGAAATGACGGAAACATTTTAATTAATTCAATTAATTAAGTTTAATAAGATTGTTTTGGAGTAGAAAATTTATAATTTTTTTATGGCCTGACATATCCAATAATTTTAGCAGATTGTGTTTAAAAGATATTCTTTAGGTATGTAAATAGAACAAGATAAAACTCTTGAGTCAAAAGCTTGGTAATTTAAAGGAAGAAATAAATATTAGTGAACAATTTTCGTCGTAATATAAAATATTAGTTTTTTTTCCGAGAAGTTAACGCGGAGTTTACGTAAACTATAAGCAGTTAACAAAATTGATAATTAGTATAAGTTCTGCAAGTTACATTCCACATAACGTTAGGTATTTTACATGCTTTACCGCAAAATCATTTTAAAATCTTTTTGATTAACTTTTATCCTTAAAATTGAGGACTACAATAATTGACTTATCCATTGTTGTTTAGCCACCTCTGATAATAAGTAATACAAAAGTATAAATAATATAATATGTATATACATGTATGTATGTATAGTAAATTTAAAGAAAATATATTTAGATTTTCTTGTATTTACAATGCATTAACGTGTAAGTTTGTTTTAAATTTTTGTTTTTATTTTATAAACGTCCTTCTTTTACAGAAATCTTCTAAGAAGAATATTATTATCTAGTATGTTGGCTCCCGTTCTAATGCGGAATTTATTTTAAAATGTTAAATACTATGTAAAAATTATAAATCACTATAAAGAAGGTAAAGAAAAAAACAAAGCAAGATGGCAAAAGAGGATAAAATAGGAATTTTTAGACATTAACGGACTTATCCACAAATAAATATTTATTGTTAACTTTAATGGGATGTGCAATTGGAAACACAATTTCTCCTCCGGACATTTAACTGCTGTATGTGTTTACCTTTAGCACTTTTTTTAGCATTTGCAAGATACAAGGGATTTAATTTTAAATGCAAGTATGTTTTTTGTGAAGTAAGTGTAAGTTTTAAAAACTATTATAAGCATATATGTGAATGTTTATACTTTGCTGTATTATCAATAGACAAAAGTTGCACTTATCCTAAAAGAGACAACAAAACACATTAGAAAAATAAATAGTTTTATTTGATTTTAATGATAATTTATTTATTTCAGACCCTATTTCAATCGATTGTAATTAGTATTATTAGACGGTGTCTTTGTTCTGAAGAGAAGGAATTTGACTCTGAAGCCTTTTGCGGCAACTAGAATAATCTCTGAAAACCCTTCTTTTAATTATATTCGAATATACAGGTTGTTTTGCATAAAGTGGCAAATAATTACAGGGATTAAACTTTGACCAATTTCCAGCTCTTTGTTTTTGGTCAATAAACAACATTCACAAATATTTTTTCAGCTTAGTATATGTATAATTTAAAATTTGTATGAAATGTGTGAAAAATGCATTTTCGCATGTTTTTTGGACACATTCAAACGTTTTACTAGTAAAACTATGAGAAATAGAGACAAATGTTATATGGTTTAACTTTTAGATCTCATCGTAAAGAAGAAAAAATCAAAAAAAAAAATTTCGAGTTTTGTAAAAAAAATTAAAAAAAAAAATTCTGACTTTGACGAGCTGTATCTTGAAAGCTATGGCTCAAATCAAATTAATTGTAAGACTAAAAATAAAGAACAATCACTCGCCTGTAAAACAAGCTCCAAATGATAACTCTATGTTGTATAGTTCCGAAGTTATGAGCATTTATTTATTTACAGTAAAAATCAGGTACCTTTTCTTTAAACAGGCTGTAGCTCGAAAACGAGTATACATATCTTATCATTTTCATTTTGATTGTCTATAATAAATTAATTACTAGCTTTATTAGCTCAGTATCATAGTAAAAAAAAAACCCAAAATGTGTCTTTAAATGTACACATAATGCGTAAAATCATTTTCTAACTAAATCTAAGCAGAAGATACCACAATATTAATTTAAAAACTAATTTAAAAACTGAAAAATTCGTTTTAACCTAGACGAATCTTGTAAGATTACATTCAATTAAAGATAATATTCAATGCTGCCGTATAGCATCTCGAAATACAGGAACATTTTTGATTGGTAAAAAAAATCTCTTTATTATCCTAGCAAACTTATGAGAAAAACTTATCACATACTTTATTTTTACACTTAATCTACATACATCTAATTCAATAGCATGCTGTTCAAAAATTTAAGCATGCTGAATTCAAAATATTGTCAATTTATAAAAAGAAAAAATATTTCAAAATTATAAAATGTTTGAAAAATATTATTTTATAAGGAAATTTTCTTGAAAAAGTTGTTTTGGTTGCAAGAACTGTTTCGGTTCATGAAATTTAGTCCCAGTCCGAAAGTGCGTTCTAAAATGAAGGGATAAAGGTGCGTATGTAACATTTATTTTGTGTTTCTTTTAATATTTAAATATATTTTGCATTCTTTTCTGTATTCATTAGGAAGTGCTTTATTGTAAAATTTTAATCTAAGTATATAAATCGAAGCACATAATGCTAACACTAGTTGAAAACTGCAAATGGACTGCAAAATCATATTCATGCAAAAAACAAAAAAAAATTTTATTTGAATTTAAATGGACTCCGGTCCAAATACAAATTCTAATGTAACTAAGTACATACATACATACATATGTATACTAAATTTATAAAATTAGACCAATTTTTCCACATAAAGAACAACCGAATAATTATAAACTTATGCTATGTACCATTGTATAGAAGTAGACAAAAATTTTTTTAAAAAAACGATGTTTGCAGCTCAACGGGTTTCAAGTTACAGAGGATTAAAACAGATCTCGGTTATTGGCAATCTTAAAATTCATTTACTTTTAAAATTATCAAGTTAAACGGATTTTACAAAATAAATAGTATATTCCTGTATAAATCACATCGTGCTCAATAAAAGAGAACGAGTATTTTCGGTTATCGTTCTCTTCATTGAAAACGGCATTTTCCATGAATGTATGTATGAAATACTTGATCTCTTATAAATTTGTTATATGTATGAAAAATTACGGAAAGAAAGTGAAATAAGTATACGTACGTATTTACGAATAGCTTACATACGTAACTACATACAAACTACATATTGCCTGAACATACATACACTTACGTTACCCAATTCATATGCATCTAAAATGTTAATGCATACGCATGTTATTTTGCCTTACATCAAGCATATGTGCATGTTATACTCATACAAATTTTTACGAAGACAATTTCCAATTGATTATACTTCAATCATAACATTTTGGTTTGACCGGATTATATGTCGAGCCAGGTTTAGCCGGGTGTAGAATATAATCCGGGTTCGGCCAATATTAATTCTCTTGTAGGAGAAAAAGTTTACTTTTTTTGTTAATATTTTTCATAGTTCAAGCAGAATTGAGAATACTTCTAAAAATTTTCTCGGAGTAAAGAATGCGAATTGTTAGATTTAAAATAATCACAATTAATTTTTTTTTTGATAAAATTTTGACTTTTAAAGTGATTTAATCTTAAAGATTTTGTCAAAGTAATCTTTAGGTACACGAAAAAATTAGTTTAACCATTCAAAGCACTGAACTTAAAATCGAAAAGCTCTCAGAGTATTACAAAATAATGTCATTATCTATATAACTGCTCAAAATGAAAATGTAATATTATTTACAAAGTGGCACTGACTGTAGAAATTGGCTGTTTAATGGGGTTTTTGTACAAAAATTTTACAAAGAGCGAAAATGAAAAGAATTACATTTTTATAATTTCTTAATTTCTTTTATTATTTAAAATAAACTAAAGTTTTCTTAACAAATGCACCATATTGTTCTTAGGTATTTAAATCAATAATCTTTTACAATATTGTTTAAATAAAATTTCATTGATAGAAACTGTTGACTGCTTAAAAGTCAGTAGTTTCATTTCAACTCATATCTCGAAAAGCTTGTTTTGCTAGTTATCAAGTTTTCATTTTGAGAAGTCATAATATATAATATTTTATTAAAAATTCTCGCAAACCACAAATAACATAATATTAACAATATTAAAATTAATATTTTTGTCTCCTCTTTAAGAGATTAAATTTAAACAGAGTTGTTTGAATTGAGCTTGTTTGTATTAAATGAATACTAACTAAAGCGAATCAAAAAGATAAGAGAGTATTGACTGCAAACTTCTTACTCGATAACAAATTTTAAATAATAATTAAAGTATTTTTGCTTAAAACGTTGTGGTATGGTTATTTTCTCACCACACCACAATTTATTTTATACTCTCAAAAATTTGTGTTCTGTTTATCAAAAAGAAAATAAAGTAAATTCTTATCAGCCACAAGTACAGTTTTAATAAGTTTCTCTTTAAAAGAGCATAAACTATAAAATGGAAATGAAAACAATTGACGTACAGTAGTCAGTGCTTTGCGGTGTCGCGTACTATAATCAAAAACTTAATGTTGTCGTAAACATTTTGTTTATTTTATTTTAATACAATTTTTTAGTAAGAAAATTTAAATTTATAAAATGTCGATTACAATTACTCAAGATGTATTTGGTAGTGCAAAAGATCCATTTACTAAAAAGGATACAGCAATTCATCGATTTACCTTCTGTAATGACAACAATATGTCAGTACAAGTAAGTAACAATTTATAATTACATAAGTGCATGCACATTGGTGTCAAAATATATTTAAAATTTAATACCATGTAATGATTGTGTTATAATCTATTGGAGAGTACTTTATTGTGCATAATATGTACAAATGTACGATTTAAATTACTTATGATAGTGCATATAGGCATAATAATATATTTGTGTACTAATGATGGTTATGCATACAGACTGAATATCAAACCACTATATAGCATTACTAATAATCAAGAGTCTTTAATATTTGAAAATCAGGTTGAGAGTTCTAAAGGTACTATAATAGTTATTTTGTTATTATCAAAATATCTTTATTACTGTAATAATGTGTAGATTAATTTTCTTCTTGTTTTTTTTGTAGTATGTGCTATTTTTACCTACATAATTTACAAAAAAGTTCGCAATTTTGCATAAGTTTTGTATTTTATACTTTTAAGAGAAAAATAATAATTTTTTTCCAATATTGTTTTTAATTTTTTGTTACATACATACATACGTAAGGTACGGGTTCTTATAAGTATAGTAAATGTTTAGAGAGTTTGGACGGATGAACTTGTAAAGTCGATAAGCATGTGAATGATTTGTTTGATGTTGTTTTTAAAATTTGTCATTTTTAATGAGCAAAAAGTAAAAAATTATAATTATGGCGACTTTTATTTGACTTTTAAAAACGAAATGAATGAGTAGTGATTAAATTTTTTATAGATTTTGGGAAAAACGAGATTTGTACTTGAAAATTACATTATACGAACGTATGTACGATATTCGCTCACTTTCGTCATACTCGGCGAGTAAAAGTCGAGACATATTATATATAATTAAATTCTAAAGAAAATCAAAGGAGTTCGTGAAGTGAAGACAGTTTAGAAGTTATGGAGAAGAGGTACTTATTGAATTAACTTTCTTATTACAACTTTTTATATAAACGTAATAAATTTTTATATTGTTGATTCGATTTATTGAATAATGTAATACAATGCATAATTGCGAACACTAGTTTTAACAAATACGAGTACTCATCTTAAGTATATTGCAAAAGGGATGAAGATTTTAGTGGAAAATTTTATAATAATCTTCCTATAAATATAAAACGTAAGTGGCACATACTTCCATCTCTTCCACCCTCCACCTACATATTACTACATAATTCCTTAGAATTTATTATAGATTATAATACCATATACATATGCATATTAATTTTTACAATAGTGCACACATAAGTACCTACATATAACATGTGCATATTGTATATTTTATGTTGAATATAATAATTATGTATGGGTATGCCATATTTAACTGAGTTTCAAGTCATTTTCATCATGTCAATGAATTTTGCTTTTAGGCTTCTTTACATTTTTGTAATTGTTTTTTTAGGTTTCGTAAATTCATTTGTGCATAACACATTATTATAATCTATTTAAAGTTTGTTAAGATGTTCTCATTTTAACTTAAGAGATGGCGTAATTATTATTGTTATTATCACTATGTTTTTCATGATTGTCGATTATTATTAAGATTTGGAGTGCATCATAATACCCAAAAACCCATATTCAGATATGCTTAAAGTTTTCTGCTATTTTATGTTATGCTTTAATTTCTTGAATATTTTCTATAGGTGATTGGTCGCAAAAAATTCAAAAAGAAAAATAGAAAAGAAAAATTAATGTTAATTACAATGTAAAATGTTGTTAAGTGTTTTGTTGAAAATTATAAAATGAATTTTAAAGATAGAAAATCTTTATAGTGGTGGATTTTATAGTGGTGGATGCTCTCATTATTTTATGAAGAAGTAGGAAAAACAGAAAAAAAAAATACCAGAATCATAAAGAGAAAGTGGTGATAAAATTAATTTTAAATTCAATTAGGTTATTTTTTATTAGAATAATTGTTATTTTTTAATAGAAAAATATAAGTGAGAATTTTAAACTTTGGAAAAAGCGCAACTGAAGAACATTATTGAGTTAATTCTTTGTATTTCATTTTAATAACGATATTTGTATTTAATTTTAATAAAATTATTTAAAGAAATTTTAAGCTTTGCCCCATAACTATTAAATAAAAAGTAAATTAAATTTTTGTTAATTAGGTAATTGGTTACATCATCAGTTCTTGCTAATTTTTAAATGTTATGATTATTTTTACATCCAATTGCTAAATTATTTGACTTTAATTTTTAATTTAATGTTTCAATTATTACTAATTACAGGTGATTACATTAGGAGCAACTATAACATCGATAATTGTACCTGATGGAGCTGGAAATACTGACGATGTTGTTTGTGGTTTCGATAATGTTGAAGGTATGAACAAAATATTTATTTATAATAATATTTACGATCTAAATGTAATTATTTAAGATCAGACTTTATAAAATGCGTATCTAAAGTTCAAAAATTTTTAATTTAGATTACCCAAGCTATGTTGAGAGGGTTCAATTTAATTATGATTAATATGGCCATCTCTATAAATTTTTTTTTAAATTTTTAAAAAAATTGATTAAAAATGAGTTATATGAGTACCAACTGTATTACACATTTGATGAGTAATTTTAAGAAATGAATGCTGGATACTGTATACTGACCTCAAGATCATTACGGAAATCGGAGGCTTGAGCTTGAGTTTATTCTGAGTTTCCGTTTTCTTATTATGGATAAAGTTTTTCTATGAGATTAACAATACTTTTAAAAAACATTGAGTCCGCTTGCTGTAAAAAATTAATTTTTTCGTCATTCTTGGCTTTGGTAAAACAAGAGGATTTATAGTATATTTATGTGATAATTAAAACTGCACCATGTCTTATTTTAAACTGGCAAAACCAGCTCTTCCCTATAAATTTTACGCTAACATTTATACATTGCACTTTTAATCAATTTCAAACATAATTGAAAATAATTGTGTCACCTTATCACAAGCTTCTTACATCTCAATTCACTTTATTATCACTTTAAAGATAAGATTGATTTTGTTGACTCTTTTAAAATAGAGTCCATTTTCTATATCTTAATAGAACCTTAGAATGTTTTAAAACTTAATTTTCTAAAATTATTAACAAATATTATTTTAGAAATTATATTAAAAGTAAATTAAAAGTAAAAACTTAAATATAAATCAAATAAGTTGATAAAATTTATTTGTTTATTTTCTTTGTCGTTGAAATCAAAGAAAGTGACAGTCGAGGGTAACTTATAGTGTGCACTGAATTGAATTTTAACTTTTATACAGAAAACTTAAATTAATAATAAAAAACAAAACTTATTTAATTTCTGTAGAACCTTTAAGTATAGCCAAATAGTTAAATAAAAAAATTTTTGTTTTTCAAAGTTTATTTTAGCTGCACATTGCCTTTGAATTAAATTACACTTGCATATTAATTATTTTTACGCGAATCAAAATTTGAACTTTTTAAAATTCAAAAATTTTTAAAAATATGCTTTACATACTCGTATTAAGTGTTATGAGTTTTAATTTATTTTTTCTAGAAAACTATAATTTCCGATTTTAGATTCCACTACAAGAATTAATATATTTGAAATTATTGAAATTTTTTTTCGGAAAATATACTTCTAACTTTAAAGCATTTTAGGTTCAATGTCGCCAGAATAAGAAAAATATGACTATAGAATGATATTGTCATACTTCAAGAGTTACAGTATATTCATTTTTAAAATTTTAATTTTCTGAAATGGAATGGACGCAGTCGGGCGGTAATTCAAAATAGTATATTTTACAAAGTTCTAACAATTTGCGGCCTACATTTGAATATAAGAAAATCATGTGAGCAAAGCTGGAAATATTTTAATTTTTTTACATGTTCTTATAAACTTATAAACTTCTAATGCTGACATAGCTCACAAATTTTTTTGATTATATATGGTTTATTTCTATAAGCGTTTATTTGATACTGAATACTGTATTTAATAGACATTTGAATAAAATCTGAATTTCTCTACAAAAAATATGAAATCATGTATTTTATGTTAAGTTGAGGAACTCGAAAAATGTGCTAAGTGTACCAATTAAGCTAACATATCACATGAATGAATCGTGTATCAAAAAATTACATAAAGGAGAGAAACAAGTCTTACTTTTCTTACAAAAACTATAAGAGCTGCATTGGAATCTAGTTTAAATTTAAAATTGTTTTTAAGTAAATTTTCCATAATATTATGCCAGACAGTTAAAAAATTATTATGCCAGAAAATACAAAAATATTTTTTACTTTTAAAAAGAAAATATGGGAACGTATCTGCATAGAAGTTTCAGTTCGTTATTATCAAACTTCGCATTTTATTTACTCTAAGATTAAAACTTAACATTCTTATCTCAATCATAACAGTCCAAAACACGTAACCCTGTAAATAAAGTGTTCATATATAAAAATCCTTTCACAATGATTGCTTCAAAAATAAATAAAAAAAAAAAAAACAAAAAATAAAAATTTTTTAAATGAAATTATAAAATTGACATGATAAGGAAAATAATTTAATTTAATCCTTTTTTAAACTTTTTTATTAATTATTGACCCCGATACCGTGAACGATTCATTAATTTTGTTTTACGAATTTTATAAAAGGTTATCAAGCGTCAAATAATCCTTATTTTGGTGCCACGGTTGGAAGAGTTGCAAATCGTGTTGGATTCGGAAAATTTATTTTAAATTGTGAAGAAATTAATGTGAGTAAAAATTGGAATGATAGGCATCAACTTCATGGTGGTTTTATTGGTTTCGATAAAGTTCATTGGACTGCTAGCATTCATGATAACCAAACTGTAGTAATGTCACATGTATCTGAAGATGGTCATGAAGGTTATCCAGGAAAAGTTGCAGCAATTGTAGTTTTTCAACTAACTGAAGAAAATGAATTTCGTGTATGTTTTTCGGCTACAACCACAAAACCTACGCCAATTAATTTGACAAATCATTCTTATTTTAATTTGGCTGGACACGTAAGAATATAAAAAAAAAATTAAATGCATATAAGTTGATTTTATGACAAAAAAATCTTTTTCTGCTTTTTAAATTATAATTTTAACTAGAATGCTGGAAGTCAACAGTTATATGAACATTTAATTAAAATAAAAGCAGATAAAATTACGGTAACAGATTCTGATTCAATTCCAACTGGTGAATTTATGGATGTTGATGGTACACCTTATGACTTACGTACACTTGGAAAATTAGGTCCACGTTTACAGAAATTAAGGGCTTTGGGTTATGATGACAATTTTTGTGTCACTCTTGATCATGGCAATACATTAACAACCATTGCAAAGTAAAATCCATTGTAATTAAAAATTTTAAAATGCCTAATATTTTATTGTTATTATTATTATTCTATTTTAAAAGGGTATCACATCCAAAGTCTGGAAGATGGATGGAAGTTGCAACTGATCAACCTGGAGTTCAATTCTATACTTCAAATTTTATGCCAGATCCCGCAAAGAATGAGGTATTTATTGAAACTGTTTTATTTATTGTATTGGGACTGTGGTATTTGACCATTTTGAATAAAATTTTCTAAAGTAAACATACTTTGGATTAGGGCAATTTAGATTTATTGGTTGTTCCTACATATTATGTGATAAAACAGTTTCAAATGGAAGATAATTTACTTGCTATTCTGTGGAAACTAAACCAAATTTTAGTTGTCAGATTAATATTAGCTGTGAATAAATACGTAAAAAATTATTTCTATATAGCATTTAAAATTAAAAATTTAAATTTAATTTACCTGAAGTGCAATTAATTATGCAGAACATTTGGTTTTATGCCCATTGATGTGGATGTTGAATTTTTGATTATAAAAATTGTTTATACTTTTTGCAAAATTAAAAGGACCTACCAAATATTCAAAATATCAATGTGTTTATTCAGCAATTACATTTTGTGTGTAAATGTGTGTACATGAATTTATCTCTTGGAAAAGTCAAACACAATTTAATTCACTAGCTAAAAACTGTACATTTCATAAATTTGCTCATTTAAAAAACATTCAGCCTTTCATTGAAGCCATACAAAATTTAGTCTTTGAAATGCATTGTACAAAAATAAAGTCAAACGGTTCAGAAGTTTTCTTCAAATTTGCCGGGGATTTCGGTGATGTAAAAATTAGGAAATATATGACAAATTTTCGCATTTTAAACATTTTTTCACATAATATAATTATAACAAAATGTTTTAATGTTGAATACCAAATTATATAACATAAAATCTTGCACACAATCACAGGACAATGTAATATGTTTAACTTGTATATGGCCTGTTTTATTATTAGATGATGTAATATATGTATCTACATATGTACATGTCTATACAAATTTGCCTCATTGCCTTCACCCAATATAAAAAAATGTATTTACTGTATTACTGTTATATACTTGCTGTTTTCATCTTACAACAATAAATTTAATTTTTATTCTTAATATGGAAGTTTTCCTTATTTTAATATTATTTATTTATTATGTATACAGGCTCCAATAATTGGAAAAGAAGGCGCAAAATACTTTAAGCACGGTGCGTTATGCTTGGAAACACAAAAATATCCTGACGCTGTCAATCATGTAAGTTTTATAATATTATTTCATCAAAACCTTTTTTTCTTCTTTATTTGTAAATAATTAAATATTTGCTTTATTTAATAAGGATATTGTCCATGTATTTATGGAGGTTTAATTTAAATATAAATAGCAGTCTATTATATAAGATCAATAGACACTGGAATGATAAGAATTAATTTATTAAGTTTCAAAGCCTATCAATCTGGCAATCAATATTGTTGATGCTTTTATTTTATCTGAAAATTAAATATTGCAAAAGCATTAAGGTAAAAGTGCAAAGACACTTTTGAAGAGGGTCAGTTAAAGCGTAAATGTATGTGTACTATATTATATGTGTTTCCAGTGACAAATATTGGAGACGCTTTATACATGTACTTTTGTAAGTTATATGAGTTAATACGGCGGATTACATTTTCTTCAGATCATTTAAACTTTCTTGCTGTGCTATAAATGATTTTTAAATTTAAAAAACTCATATCGAATAATAGATATTTTTTTTTGCGAATATGTAAAATATGTTTCATCAGATAGATTAACGCACTGGTATTCGTCAAAATAATTATTGAGGAAAGAATAATTTTTTTTCATTGATTTGGTTGGTTTGGTTGGATTGATTTTTCCAATAAATTCCGAAATGTTTTGGTTATGGCTTGTAAGCGTATCCGATTGACACATTCATATTCACAAATTTCACTTACATACGTTGAATAGGGAAAATGGAAGACACTAAAAACACAAACAGATCCTTTAAAAACACAAAAATATTAAGTTGCGTTACATGATTGTCAACAATTTCGAAAATATTCATTTTGATCTCATAGGTATCACTATTTTTTCATAATTTTTTTAAAAAATTTTCAATTATTAATAGAACAACATGACTGACTTAAAATGGAAAATATGTTTTAATAAGAAACAAAATAATGGAGAAAAATATTGTGTCTTTGATCATTAAAATAATGAAGGAAAGAATTACGTAAATTTTTAGTTTACATAATCTAAGAATGATTGCACAAGATGTACAAACGATCTGAATTAAATTTAATGATAACGTTATTGTAATTTTATTGTAATCTTTTATCATTTTTTCTTATTTTATCTCAATTGCTCTCAACAGAATGTTAAATGTTTTTGTAAATAAGTTTTTTTTTTTAAATTATTTAATATTACATAAGAGATAACAAAATAGGAGATCCGTTTTTTATATAAAATTTAATGCTTCTCTTGAACTATGACAAAGAAATAATTTTTTGTTAAAATATTTATGTGTTTGGTAATAAATACAATTCATGCGATTTTTCTTACAAATTAAGAGATTTTCTTTAATTTGTCAGATCCAGATTGGAAAAAGGGTATAATTTACCTGATGAACAGTCATTAATTGTGAATTGTGCTCCTTGTTAGTGAAAAACTTTATACAAGACGGTGAGGCTTTAATTAGGATCTGCATTTGCTCAATTCGTGTTCTCGAAGTGGAAATTTGTACATACATACATATAACTGGTTCAGCCAAAAATGAGCTGTGGAGAGAGACGAGAGAAAGAGAAGACTTTATTTGATAAAAATCAGCCATCTCTTTCCTAATATCCGACTCTACAAAAAAAGTTTATACTTGCAGAACACCGCCAAGAATAGAATTTTTTATGAACTTGATTTAAGTATTACTGTAGTCCCGTACTTTTAAGTAATTCATTGTCAATTACTTCAACTGACTGCATATTTTTTAAGTTGAACTAGTTTACTTATTTCACTTTTAAACACAAGTGTCTTACACGTGATCAGTTTTTAATAAATGGTTGGTTTATAGTCTTATCGGAAGTAAATAAATAGAAACTTAATTTTGGATTGTCTTTTTATTCAAATTTCGGCCGGGTTATAATTACTTTTATACAATATATTACAACTTTATTACAACTTTAATATAAAACCTAAACATTTTATAATTAATTTCTTTTTCCAATTTATACCTACTAAAATCTTCATCAAATTAATTGAACGCTTTGATTACAATTTACTATAATTTCAAGTGTAACTGCAATATTGCGAAGACAACTTTCCACAATAAATTATCTACAACCATACGCACAATATTTTCACGCAAGAACAAACATTTAAATGAGTTAATTCTGTAATCATTTTGTTACATGTATGTATGAATGTTATAGATACTTTTTAATATTTTTCATCTATATATATGTGTAGATCCCGACTCGAACCAAAATGTTATCAATTTTATGTTTGCATAATATTGTTGTTATATAATAATGTAGTATGCACACATTTTCAAAGATATTTATTTTTAATAGATTTTTTCAAGTACATTATAATTGTATATACAGTTATACTGCAAAAATAATTTGTTATGAATTTAATTTTTGTTAAACATGAATTTCGACGATAATTGCCGTACGTATTACTGATATCGCGCAATATAATTTGCATGCAAGTGGAATAAAATTTCCTTTAGTACTATGTTAGTAGTCCGTTACTACTATACCAGTATGTTTAGGTAAACATTTCTTAAGCTATAAATAAAAATTGAAATATCAAATTCCATTATTTATAATTTGCTCTCAAATGGCAATATGTACAATTTTCACTTTTTGATTTACCCACAATTATCTCTGATTGATTTGCAAATGTTAATAATGCAATTGATGTCTACTTTTAGATACTATATCCATTAACATTTTGTTAGAAGAAAAGTTTTTTCCTCCTCCACCCCCTCTCGAGCTATCGCCATCCGAAATTTGAAAAATTTAAATTTTTGGCACTTGAAATTTTGCCATTTAACTCCATGTTATTAAAAAATCTTTTTAAACTTTTTAATATTTTTCTTAACTTACGCAATTTAATTTTGAATTCGAATATTATGTTAACGTCTCTTTTAATTTTTTTTTTGCCTCATTCAAGGGAGAAGTGCTACATTACAAACCATTGGTTTGGCTCAACTTTATTGGTATTTGCAATCACTTTCGAATTATTTTTGTGTCTTCTTTACAATGACCATCACTGTATATTCGTATATACAAAATATTTATATATTTTATTAAATAATATTGACAACATGAAATTTTATATTTTATGGTGTGTTCATTTTCCCCCCTTTAAGTATAATAGCAATTTTGATCATCTGTAATATTAAAATAACAGTAAAATTTCCTTTTTTACACATTGTTGTTTTTTTCCCCGCTATCTTCTCTGTTCTCCTATTTTCTCTGTTGTTCTTTTTTCTATTTATTTTTATTCTTGACGTTATGCTCTTCTTTATATGAAATTTTATTCAGCTTATACTCGTATGATATCGGATAAATTATTATCGTATATTAAAATATCCTTCAAAAATAAACGAATACTTTCCACATAAACATGTGCATATACATTTTCCATATAATCTACATATAATATTGCTAGTTCGCATATACAATATGTGCGGGTAAGTAATACGATGTGTTTATGTAAAAAAAAATTTCCATATACTAGATGGTTAAGAGATCAAAACTATAAACTGTTTTTGTAGAGTCGGATATTAGGAAATAGAGGGCTGATTTTTATCAAATTAAGTCTTTTTTATATTTTCTTTCGCATATTGAAATTTTTGAATTATTGGCAATTTTTAGACCATAAATTCTGTGATAAAATTCTCACAATAAAATGTTATATGTATTTTTGTACGAATATGTAGTGTATCTTGAGTTGTATGCATGTATATATGCACATATTTTGATAAACTATAAACATTGCATATACATTGAAAAATTTTTGTGGATTAAGTTATCTTTCGTTTTTGGTTTTGTTTAAAATATTTTTGGATTTAAGGAATTTTCATTTGAGCTCTTCATATATAATATTTCTCAATTTTTATTCACATACATACAGCATATAATTTATACATAATATGATTCTAATTAATTTAATTAAAAGCTGAGTGAGAGAAGTGTAGTAGTTCGAAAATTATTAAAGTTTTTCAAGATTTTAAACATTTCAATTTGTGATCATTTTTTCTCTAAAAATCTTTTAAATTAATGAAATATGTACATATGTACATAATACATATTTCATATCGAAATGTTGAGCTCGAGTATATATATGTTTGTATCTCATACGTACAAACCTACATTATATAAAAACTATTAACAAGGATAATACGATAATAGTGAAAAAAAGAAATTATTAACAAAATTTTCACATAACGCTAAATGCTTATTATAATTATAATCTCTATAGGATTGTTAATTTCTGGAATTTTAGGATTGTTAAGGTTGTTATTTCATATAAGCGAATTGGCACATATAATTCCATTTTGTGTATACGTGTACGAATATGATATTTTAAATTTATTAATGTTTAATAATTTCTTCAGAATTTAGAAATTCTTTCTATCATCAAATATTTCTAGATATAAATTCAAAACATTCAATTCCATAATATTATGCAAAACAACTTGTTCTTTTATTAAAGAAGCTGGTATAGATATACACTTTCACATATATAAATAATATATATTTAACTTGTATTCTAATAAGCACGTAGCAAAAGTGATTGTTTAAATATTTTTGTTGAAGAGTTATTGAAGTGTTCTTATGGTGTAGTATAATTTTATATTTGTTTTAATAAAAGATTTTAAAGAAAATTTTAAATAATATTTTAGAAGTTTTAAATTTTAAACGAGAGTATTGTCTCAAAATAATACGGGAGTTCTAAGTTCTATAACTTTTGCTTACTTGATTCAAAGTGCATTTTGGAAATTTAAATACACTAATATTCGCGTGGTGGAATACACTTGGGCGCATGTAAGTCCTGCTTTTGGTTCATTTTATTTCTTATTTTAAGTCATAGAAAGCTTTGGTTGCCTTTTTAGTAATACTTTAATATATAAGCGTAAAAACCAAGTACAATACGCAATTTGACCTTATCTAGAAGCAAAAATTTCATAAATAAATTCAAATACTTTCTTTTTCTCAATGTTCCTAAAGCAACTTTAAATACATATTTATACCATATTATGTAAACGTTAAGTTTACAATTATGTTAGAAAAATTTCAGAACATTCCAAAAATGTGGTTATTTTAAAAAAATTTAGAAATTTCGAAGAAGGATTTCGGGAATTTTTTATTTTATCTAGGTTTTAATTTTAATAAACAAGAAAAAAAGGTAAAAATAAAAAATTAATTTATTTTGTAACATAAAAGAAAATAACACGGAAAATTTATTTTTTCCTGGTATACAAAGTTCTGACACATTTGAAAATTTTCATGACTTGGTGTGTATAAAGTAACATAATATTATGGTATATGGATATGTATGTGTGCAAACGTAGAAATTTTTCAAGTATTATCAAATACATATATATGAAAAATAACAAACTCAAGTGTTTAAAGAAATTAAATTGAATTGTTCTTGATTTTATGAAATAATAATTATTAAAATCTGCTTAGGCTTTTAAAAATTATGAATTTTCAATTTAATTTAATGTTCCTATATGTGTTATTTCTGCACGTACTTGTACATGCGAATTTAATTCAAAGAATATTTCAAAAAAACTTCTGAATTTTTGTAAAAGGTTCTAAAATTGTTTATTACTACTCTTTGTTGGGTAGTATTCAGTAGCTTCAATGAGTGTTATAAAATTGATCAAAAATATTAAGTGACAAGTCAATAATTAGCGGATTAAGCCTTATTTAAAGAGAAAGTTAGAGTTTTTGAACTCATCAAAATTTCTTAAAACATATTTGGGCTTATTTTAAATGCGATCAGGTTGTAAAAATAAAATGTTTAAAAGTAAATGCAGGACATCAGTATGTATGTAGGTATATGAGATTTTTGTAAAATTTATGTATAGTGTGTGACTATACATATGTAATACCTAACATAACTCTAAATTAATTGTTCCACAGTCTGTTAAACTTAGAGAATGATAAAATCTGTGCAAAACATTCAACTCAAGCATTTTAAAAATTGCTTTTTTGATAAAAATAGAATTTTGTTGATAATTTTTTTTGTTATGTGGTATCATTGCATACATCTAGGAGAAGTGAAAAAAATTAAAGAAAATTTTTCATTATTTTGATAATTTGATTCGTCATCGTACAGTGTTGCTCTTCCAAAATATTTTAACACTTTACAGTTCCTAATGATATTTAAGTGTTGCTAAAATTTAGACGATTCTTATTCACGGAGATACTAACTTGGATGTAGATAGATACAGAAAAACTTTTTATTCTAATGATTCCCTTTTTAATTCCACAGTGTGTTAAACTTAGATATACGCGAAAAATAATGTCAAAATAATAAAAAGACATTTGTTTAATAGAATTTTCAAAATTTTGTGTATTAAGTTAGTACTTTAATAATTCAAAAAAAATTTTATGGTTTCGACATTATAGGCCGTACCATAATTTAACATTCTTATATAATTCTAAAGAATCGAAATTTTAAGAAAAATACATAAGACTTTGGTCTAGAGATTCTGTCATCTAAAATCAATTCGTTCATGAATTCAAGCACGTTATTTTAAAAGAGTACTATTTAATTTCACGAGCCATTTTAGATAAATCTCTTATCTTAAATTATGTAGAAGTGATTTTTTTTGGCCACTTTAAAATCCAAAAATAAATTTTGTTGGAAGTTAATTTAGTTTTTCGAACCCGTATTAATCTAATAATATTGAAGCCAAATGATATTTTCAAGCTTTTGAACTCCAATACGAACAATTGAACATGCGTTTTCATCCTCCATATAATTTTAACACAAGTTAAAAGACATCTGACTGTAATTAGGTTTTATGTAAAGATATTAATTTCCTTTTAACATAATCGTATGTATACGAAAATTAAAAGATTCATGTTTTTTTTATATTTAGGGTTTTGTGTGTTCCGTAATCTCCTTAAATATAATACTAAAGAAATTTGTTAAGCACTAAAAATGAAAAGGAATAAATTATTAAAATGCTTTTAATTATCTTTTTATTTTTTTTCTTATATTTTTGTTTAAACATGCATCAATATTATTAAATTTTACCACATACACTGTGAAATGTGCATATTTATTAATTTATAAAATAATCGTTTTAATACATATTTATTTTTATATAATATATTATCCTTTATTTTTCAGGAAAATTTCCCATCGATCATTTTAAATCCAAAAGAGACTTATACACACGAGGTGATTTACAGATTTGGTGCTTGCAAAGAAGTTTAAACTAAGCAGCCATTTATACTTATTTTGATGAATTCCAAAAATTCAACGTTATATTAAAATTTATATTTACGAAATATAATTTAACTCAAATACGTGTTGTATATGTATTGTATATTGTGGTAACACACAAATACAATATAATAAGCGTATGTATGCATGCACATAATAACGTTTTAAATTATTATATACATACATACATATACCTATACGTACATTTATAAAATATATCTACATTTATACAAATATATTTACATTATATTCTAATTTGGTGTATATTATTTTTTGTTCGTTCCTAAAATGCCATGAGGATAAAGTCATCATCATTAACTATATCTTTACAATCATTATCATCGCGATAATGATTATTTTATATTAGAAACATATTATATTGTCTTGTTATATTAACAACATATAAATTAGTCATATAAAATGAATCATTGCAATAGTATACATTAAAATATATATATACATATATACGTATGTATCTCTTATAATTGAAGTGTGGCCGTTTGAGTTTATTTAAATTAAATTTAATAAGTATTTTGGTTGTTTGTTAATATAATATTATGTAAGTTTACAATACATTTTTGAGTAATGCGCGTTGCATTTGATGCAGTGTGTAAGAGAGTTTTTGTAATACATAGACCTAAGAGTTCAACTTTTATTGCAGGTAGTTAATTAAAAAATATCTATAACTGATGTCCTGCGCTATACTGCAATCATTTCATATTTTGAAATTAATATATGAAATGAAATAAATTTCAATCGAAACAATGATTTCAAAATTAGCACATTAAAGGCTATTTATTAATGTTATATTCTCAAAATAATTATATTCTCTAGTTGCATGTGTTTGTAATATATATATGTGTTTCGAGAGTCAAAAACTTTAGAAGGGAAATATTAACAAACTGTTTAAATTTCCGACTTCTTGACTTACAGTTTAAAATTATATTCTAAAAAATTTACAAAAAAAAAAAAAAAGAATTCAAGGTAACGGTAAATTTGAACTAATATTTTACTTAAAATTGCGTCTCTAATACTATTGGGAATAAAAAAAATTGTTTATTTTTTTGACTTTTAAGAGTGAAATTGAAACATGGTAAAGTTGTTAGGCTTATATCGATAATATAAGTTCAGATTTTAAGGAATACTAAAGTTTAGATTTCAAAAAATACTTGTAGTAACCCCGTTATTTGTAGATTTGTATAACGGGGCCAACAGTGCACCGCGACCACATATAAGGATTTATTGTGCACCCCCTCGAGTGGAAGGCATGCTGTACAATACACGCTCGAGACCTACCCTCCTAATGAACTCAAGCAACTTGTGAGGACCGGAAGACCGTAACTCCAACGCCGTTAGACCAAATCTACAACCCCATCACAATATACACAATCATAATAAGCAGTAGACGGCGAAATTAAATCTTAAATTTGTTCTAAAAAATAACAAATTCACCAAACTCCGATTAAATAAAAGCGGTCGCACGGTTTTATATTAATTTTTTTTTACAAAATGGTTGTGTGTTCGCGAATACTTGGTGTAATCAAAAGATGTTTTAAAATTTGATTTATATTTTTTTATTTTTATGATTTTATTTTTATTTTTGGATTTTATTGTTTACCCAAAAATTCCTTTTTTACTTTTTATAATTCCGTTCTATTCAGTAATGAATCCTGATGTCTGATGATATCCTGGTAGCTTAAATATGCTTTTTAATATTCAAATTTTAGGAATTTTTTCGCAAAACAAAAAAAAAAAAGAAAAATGTATAAAAATAATAATAAACAAAATGAAAAGTATCTAATATTAAAAAAAAAAAAACAAATTCCGTTCGTTAGAAAAAAATATTTTCAATTTCGTAATTCGTGTTTTTGAATTTTTAAAAATCCTAAGAAAATATTTTTACATCCTAATACTCTGTTTGAGTTTTTCTTTTGGAAATAAGAAAACAACGTATCTATAGAATAAAGATACACATAGCTACTTTTTTTTTAATAAATTCTTTATATTTTATATTTGTGTTTTTTGTTTGACGGTGTTGAATTTAAATAATAAAAGCAATGATTGATGATTTTACTGAAAATATTCATAACTACATTATGACAAAATAACTCTTTTTTTTTTTGAATTTGATTTTAATAATATTCCTTTAAAGCATTAGCGACTTAAATTAGGGAGCCTGTCTGAATAAAAATTGTTGAAGAAATTAAGAAAAAGGAGCAAGAAAATAAACACTATTATTACTCGTATTTGGAGAATTGTGGAAAAATAAAACACAGTAATGAATAAATCTAGTAGATGAATGAAAATCTAGTTCCCAGATTAGCTGGAAAATATGCTATGTTATAAAATAGATTTATTCGTCTATGGTTGGTTGGTTGGTTGCTTGACGTGGAAGGTGCAGCAGGTACACTGCAACCTAATTGCTACAAATGTGCCGTTTTGTGATCACTACCCCAACATCACAAGGGCATGTTCTGATGATTCGACTTCTTATTGTAAATAGAAAAAGTTTTAATTGTTAAACACGAAAATATAAAACGCTAGAAGGGATATATACGATATCAAACCCCAATTCTAATTGTTCAATCAAATATTTAATTCAACAAATATAATGTTACTGTTGTGCTCTCATTGTGGCCACTGATATGCTAAGTGTTAGTTTGGAATCACTCTTAATGTTGTTATTGATGTTTAATTTGAAATCAACTTAGCTTAGTTTTTGTTAAATATAAACTCTTTATTACTCTAGTGCAAATATTTTACGCTCCATTTGAGATAAATGAGAAAAAAAGTTTTACAATCTCGTTTTCAGTTTTTATCGTTTTAAATTTGAAAATTAATTTGGGTATTGTGGGATTTTTACTATTATAATAAAAGTACCAATAGAATTATCAGTGCTCTCAACTATTAAAATGTGAAAATAAAAATTTTTGTGTCAAGGTATTTTTGCGAAATCTTTATGAATTGCACAACTAAAGAGACAACCTCGAAAGTTTTAAATGTGTTGGTAAACAATGTTTTTGTTTTTTATACCCTGCACTTCGTGAAGGGTATATTAACTTTGGTATGGAGTTTGTAACTACTTGAAGGAGTCATCTGCGATATGGACATATATATATATTCTTGCTCAGCGTAAAATTCTGCGTCGATTTAGACATGTCCGTCTGTCCGTCCGTCCGCCCGTCCGTCCGTCCGTCCGTCCGATCGCACGATAACTCAAAAACGAATAATGCAATCGACACCAAACTTTCACAAGTTTTTTCTTTTATGCCAAGGACGAACCCTATTGTTATTGGACTAATTCGGACAACGGGTTCGGGTAGCTGCCATACAACTCAAAGAGTTTATTTTAAATATTTGGAAAACTAATAAAGCTATAAATATAAAAGCTATAAATATAAAATTTTGTATACATGTGTCCAATTATATTCTACACATGCTCTAAAAATTATAATGGGATAGCTGCACCGGTTCGGGTGGCTGCAATACAACTCCAACAGAAAATTTTTTATATTCGGCAAAATAATAAAGTCAGATTCATGAAACTTGGCAGTCATGTGTCCAATTGTAGGTCAAATATATTTCTGAAGTTTTAGAAGAATTGCTTGACAGGTTCGGGTACCTGCCATACAACTCCAGAAGCTAATTTTAAATATTTGGAAAAATAATAAAGTCAGATTCATGAAACTTGGCAGTTGCGTGTCCGATTGTAGATCAGATATATTTGTGAAGTTTTAGTGGAATTGCTTGACAGGTTCGGGTACTTGCCATACAACTCCAAAAGCTTATTTTAAATATTTGCAAAAATAATAAAGTCAGATTCATGAAACTTGGCAGTTGTATGTCGAGTTATAGGTCAGATATATTTCTGAAGTTTTGGTGGGATTGCTTGGCAGGTTCGAGTAGCTCCCATACAAGTCTAAAAGTTTATTCTTAATATTTGGAAAAATAATAAAGTCAGATTCATGAGACTTGGCAGTCATGTGTCCAATTATAGGTCAGACATATTTCTAAAGTTTTGGTGAGATTGTTTGGCAGGTTCGAGTAGCTCCCATACAAGTCTAAAAGCTTATTCTTAATATTTGGAAAAATAATAAAGTCAGATTCATGAAACTTGGCAGTTGTGTGTCCGATTGTAGATCAGATATATTTGTGAGGTTTTAGTGGAATTGCTTGGCAGGTTCGGGTACTTGCCATACAACTCCAAAAGCTTATTTTAAATATTTGGAAAGATAATAAAGTCAGATTCATGAAACTTGGCACTTGTATGTCGAGTTACAGGTCAGATATATTTCTGAAGTTTTGGTGGAATTGCTTGACAGGTTCGAGTAGATACCATACAAGAAAAATAATAAAGTCAGATTCATGAAACTTGGCAGTCGGATGTCCAATTATAGGTCAGACATATCCGTGAAGTTTCTATAGAATGACTTCACGGGTTCGTGTAATTGCTACACAATAACGAAAGGTGCAGGGTATAATTCAATCGGTTTATACCGACTGAAACGTTTTTACTTGTTTTGTTTTATTTTAATATTTGGAATTTTAAAAAACTTTTAAAAAAAATTTTATTTTCTTTTAATTTCAGATTAGATTAACTGATTTCAGTTTGTTATTCTAAACAAATATTTGAAAAGTTTCTCTTTCAAATTTATTGTAAGAAATTAATAGGATTAAGTTGGTTTCGTGTTATGAAAAATTTTGGATAAGGAAATTTTTTTTTTTTTAAATTGCGATTTAGATTTCAAATATTTTCTAATTCAATTTCTTTGAATTTAATAAATATTTTTTAAAATTAAAACTTAATTTTCATCGTTCATCTTCGTTTCATAAAGACCTTCGTTGCACTCGAAAAATATGTTGCGTACATTCAGGGCTACTCACTGAACATGTTTTACTTGGATATCAATTCCTGTTGTTTATTTATCTGTGTAATCACATCTCCAAAATCGCTTCCAAATTTTCTGTGTCTCATTTTTGTCTCTTTTCTTTATTTTTTGTTTGAAATTTTCATAAATATGTATATGTATATCTACATAATATGTTCTCATATTTTTAGCACTAAGAAATCAATCAAAGCTCATTACTGGCATAACATTACCAAGACTACCCCGTTCCGTGAGATAAATCTTTCTGTGTTAAATTATACTAATGCTAAATGCTATTGAATTCATCTAATCACACATCATCTGTCTCATACTACATTATAGTGATTGGGTCAAATAAAAGTAAGAA